TAGCCTTACAACAGTCGGGGGCGCCCCCGACTGTTGTAAGGCTAGGGTTGTGCAACCCTAAGCTTCCAACAGCCACCCATTAAACTTGGCCCACAGGTATGGCCACAAAGTTTCCTCTCTTAAAGGATTAAAATGACAAAAATGAGACTGACTTCAAAACGCAAAGGAAAAGCTAAAACGAAACAAACTCTCTTGAAATCAACTCTTACGCTTTTAAGTTTGCACTTTGACTAATAAGAACCCTGAGAATTGTTTTGGAACCGCAGCTGGTAAAGTTAAGTTAGTGCATTTTACTTTTCAATGTTAAAGAAAAATCAAGTTGAAATAGAACTTGATCCGGCTTAAAACTCTCTCAGCTCTAATTGGAAAGCGCCTGCTTGATCCAACTTGAAATAGTAATTGTCTTGCGCATCTTGATTCGCAGGCGCCTTTCAAGAGTGAGGACTACAAGATGGCCATGAGTTCATGTGGCACCTATGAAGGTACAGGCAATTTGTTTTGGGTGAACCTTAAGTGGAGCGCCACTCCCAAAGTGCCTGTGAACGAGAAGGGGGTCGACAACTTCAGGCAGCAGCACTTCTCTTCACCGAAACGATGGATCAAGCAGCCGATGATCATTGCTGTGGAAGAGAGCATGACCTTGCATTTTGGAAACTTGACCCGAGTGACACCAGAAGAAGCTGATCACGCTTTGCTGCTGGCTGTGTCAGGGGCCATTGATGCCGGTGAGGATGAACAGGTTTTGAGGCGCGTGTAGCCGCCCACTTTCTTTTGCCTGGAACGCAAGTCAGTTTGACATTTTCATCACCTATGATCTTGAAATGTAGTATACGCAACTTCCTCATTAAGAATCGTTGGAGGCAGTGGCGCGCTGTGCTGCTCACAGTGCCAATGATCTTTGAGATCCTGCCCACGAATGACCAGAAGTTCTTCAGGGCGGCCACTTGGATTCACGCTTGGGAAAAACTTTCTGTCCTTTGCTCAGCGTGGGAATGCGTTAGATCGATTGAATTGGTTTGGCTGCACAGGTCAATCTCCGGAATGAAATCATCACAGACTTTGATTCTTTGGCCCGAAACACCGCGCAGCGGATCTATGAGCTGATGAGCTTCAAGCACGCCAAGGAAACGACCATGAAGAGAAAGCTTGAAGTTCCTGAACTATACACCATGTGGTCTGAACAGGTCACTGAATCGAAGGCCAAAATTGCTGAGTTGGAAAAGGTGACAGAATCCTTCTGCAGAGACGCAGTCACCATCTACGAACGCCTCCTGAATGTGCCAGAGCTGCGGGCACGCTGCTTGGCCTTGGATTCCGCTTATGGCAAGGCGTCCCCCTTGAACTCGAGCACCAACATGAAAGAGTTGGTGAAGATTGGGAAGACACCAGTTCTCATTGAGTGGATGATTTGCACAATGCACGATCTCCTGGAAACGGACCAATGCACCTGGCGTGACTTCGGAACACGGGCTTTAGTCCCTGGGCAATTTAAACCTTGATTTCTATAATTTAGCAAAGTCTTCATTCCAAATATTTTTTCAAAGTTGGCACCTTTGGACGCTGAGAGGGTGTGACGCTGAGACAGTGTCTATGTAATCTTTTTGTATGGGCTACTTTGGACGCTGAGACAGTGTGACGCTGAGACAGTGTCTATTCCTATCAATTTTTGTTTCATTTGGCAATTTTTTTTTGACGCTGAGACAGTGTCTGTGGGATGTGCTCTGCTGCAACTAAGGCTACTAACAAAGGCAAGAAAGGCTTGTACGAACTGTGGGTGCTGAAGTATGAGCTGAAGCAGCACTTGCTGGGCAAGTTCCTCGACCTATTGAAGTTGCCTGGGAAGGAGAGCGAATATTTAAGAGACGCCCTTCTCAGCCACGACCAGTTTCGCGAGAAGACGCGAGACCGCTCCTGGCAAGGCACTCTCAGTGAAACTGGCCGCCTGCTCTTCAACTTGGTTCAGGCCAGGCGCTATTTTCTAGAAAATTCATTTACTTGTTGACAATCAATCGTTCGGAGTTCAATTTTTCATTGTCTCCGCTTACATTCTAATTTATTGACTGATGCGCCACAGGCCCTGGTCTATCAGCAGCAGCACGACGGCTCCCTGAGAACTTCCTTGAAGGGCACGAGCGACGTTGCCGAGGTTGTAGCCACCAACCCGATCCTCACTGCCAGCTTGGATGAAATCAAGGGCCCAGAAGGATCATGGCAAACCGCTTGAGCAGAAAGAAGCGGAAGGGCCGACATCTTCTAGCGCCCTTGCAGCGGGCGGAAGCTCAGTCTCCCTGAGCGAGTTGTTGGGCGAGAAGTGGGCTGATGTGTCCGCTGAAGATTCCACATCGCTGGAGGATTGGAGAGAGTACGTCGCCCAAATGACGGAACAGTTCGTTACCTTCACCATCGACGACAACAGTTTGAGAACAAGTGAGTTTGGGGACAAATTGACCTCAACCGTGCTCCCGAAAGTGGATGGTCCTGTGCTGGCTATCTACGATGTCAAGACATCTGGCGAGTCCTCCTCGAACCCGAATGTCCGGCAGCCGCCATTGAGAGCAAACCACCTGAAGCGCTCTCTTCAAGCCTTTGCACAATGCCGGCAGAAGCCTGGAGAAGAGGCGGCGATTGCTGGGTTCTTGTCAAAAAATAGCAATAAATGATCATAATATTAAAGTTAAATTGAGATGCACCATGCCAATGCCAGGGTGAGTTGCGAGAAGGTGACTTCTTTTTCATTTTTGATGGCGGCAAGTCCGGCAACGAGATGGCCATCAACAACGCCTTCCTGAAGATGGATGGGTCGCACATGGAGAAGCAGAAGACGACCTACACCCTGCTGACTGATGAGGAGTCTCTCAAGGACCGCCGCGAGCGGACGAGGGGCTTTGTGCAGCAGGATGAGCGAATCTACGTCATGTCGCGGTTGCCCTTGAACATGCCCAAGGTGACCCGCAAGTTCTTCCCAGGAAGCAACTATGGATCTTGTCTGGGCCCAGTGAAGGCACCTGCCTACTTAGACCCGTGTTGCTGGAGGCTCACCTTGGAAGAGAAGGGTCAGTTGTACGGCCGAGACGGGAAGATACTGGTCGGTGGACCTTGCGAAGAGCCCTCGCCGAAACCGCCCAGCGAGGACTCGAGAGAGCCCGTCTCATGGCACTTCATGAACCCGAAGATCTTCGGCGAGCTCCTCCACAGCTTCAAGCCGAAGGCTGTTGTGAAGTTCACGGACATAGACCACAACTGTGCCATCGAGTGCCTGAAAGCCAGAGTTCCCTTGGTATCGTGCTGCTTCACCGCTGCTCACGCTTCTTTGCTGAAGAAGAAGGTCATCTGCGAGTTGTGGAAAGCCCTGTGCGATGAAAGCATTCCAGAGCTCTATGACGTTGGCCTGCCCTTCGAATTTGGCCTTGGACATGCTTTAAACTTTTGAATATTGTGTTGAAATAATAATCAAGAAGTGTTTAAAATTTAAATGGGAAGACTGTCAAACAATTGCTGAGGGCGCAGCTGGTCACGAAGAAGGCTGCTGATGCCAACGTTGCTGCCGGTGGGAAGAAGCGCAGCGGCCCGGAAGCATCTGGCCAGGAGAGTGCAGGAAAGGGCCCAGGAAACAAAGATAGCAAAGGAGGAGCAGCTGGCGAACCTGCCAATCCCAAAAAGCCGCGCACTGGAGGGCGCCCGTCTGGAGTCAACGCAGAAGCGGCTGAGAAGGCGCGAGCGCTGCTGCTCAACAAACTGATGGGCAAGACTGATGGCAGCGCCCCCACTACCGGCTGAGTTGAAGCCGCTACTCAGTGGAAAATTTTGGCAAAGTGCCATAGATACTCGGCACACCAGATCGCGCCAGCTAGAAGCCAGTGCCTGCCATACTCGGCACACCAGACCGCACCCGCTAGAAGCCAGTGCCTGGTCTGAGCAGGATTAAAACTGAGTCGACGGCTGGACATGGAATGAAAAAAGAGTGCAAATCTTCACAGGGGCTTTGATTTGATGCCATCCGCTGTTATAGTGGCCGCTGTTGAAATGAAATTTGATTAGAATGGCCGCTGTTTTGAAAGTGGCATGGTGATTGTTACCTGTTACCTATTTGATGAAAGCGCAATTTTTGCTCAACTTCAAAGAGGGTCCAATGCTTTCTGACGACGAGGACACCTTGCCCATAGCTTTGCAAGCTGCCATGCGCCGCAGGCAAGCTGAGGACAGCCAGCACGGAGACAAGCCAACGTCAAAGCGAGCCCGCCAAGTGCATAAGAAACCAGCTGCTTCCAAGCCGAGGGCAGCCCCACGAGTTTCAAAGCCTTTGGAGCCTGCAGCCCCCGAGCACTTGGAGGTGATCCAGCTCTTGAAGGGCTATGGGTCTGAGACCGGGCATAACAAGCTTTCATGCGTTCTGCCACATGAAGGCATTCGCGTTGGAAGTGGATGCAGCGGATGGGGCAGCGAAATGTTCGCCCTAGCCGCGCTGGGCGTTAAGCACTGCTGCTGCTTTGCCAGTGATATTGACACAGGTTGCGCAGCCCTCCTTCGCGCACTCCACGACCACCACCACTTTTTTACGGACGTTTGTTCCAATGAGTTTGCGCAGCAAGCACCAGCCTGCGACCTGCTATTCGCAGGGTTTCCATGCCAGCCTTTCTCAGCGGCAGGCCTGCGACGCGGCATGCGTGACCCGAACAGAGGCTGTGTTATTTTCAGCCTGCTTGCCTACATAATGACCAGGAAGCCAACCTGGTTTGCTCTAGAAAACGTGGAAGGACTATGGAAGTTTCACAAGGACGCCCTTGTCTTGATTTTGATGGTTCTGGACAGTCTGCAGGACTCAGATGGGAGTAAGTTGCACTTGGGACCGCAATTTAGCTATTTTTACGCCAGAATTGGCAGCGTAGTCAACCGTTGTCAGTTTCAAAGCAAACTGAATAACAAATTCAGACTTGCGAGTCGTTGATTCTCAGGTATGATGTCAGCTGGAAGATGCTCAACGCCCGGCTGCACGGCGGGCTGCCACAGAACCGGGTCAGGATTTTTATCTGCGGCACTTTGCGCAAACGACGAACACAAGACATGCTTTGGCCAGATGAGGCCCGAAGCTGATATGCAATTTTGATGGTTGTTTTGACCATAATCTTCTCAAAGCTGCATCTGAGCTGGCAGGTACCCATGAAGCCTTTGAGCCACATCATAGAGCGTGGACTCCCACCAGTGCAGGTGACGAAGCTGTCTTCAGGGTACCTCCGTCAATTGGCTGAGGCGAAAGCAGCTATTCTGCAGAAGAGCCCTCAAGCCTTGAAAGAATCGGAGATCATCATTGACCTTGGCAACTCGGCCAGTCGAGGCCCAACTTGGGCAGTGGACTACGCACCTTGCCTGACGAGGACCAGAGGAAAGGGCAATGGATTCTGGGTTCTCAGTCAGCATCGCTGGCTGACGATGAATGAGAAGCTTCGACTGATGGGCCTCTCGCCAGCTCAAATCCCACAGGGTGTTGTGAGTGAAAGCACTTTGGGAGCGATAGCTGGCAATGCAGTGCCGATTGGCTTGTTGGTGCCTGTGCTGCGGGCTTTGCTGCAAACAGCGCGCTAATTTAATAGAGTGTTTCAAAATTCGGAGGATGCATTTATGCCCATGGCTTGAGCAGCGCCTATGGCCGAAAAGAAGACCTTGTCGGGCACTTCTACCCACAGTGGGGTGTCACATTAAGCTGAAAGCTTTCTTTGGCCAGGCGCTGCATTTCTTGAGGCGGGGCCCGCTTGCCTTCAACAAAGGAAATTTACAATAAGATGTTTGAATCTGAACCAGCATATTGATCTATTCATCATTGGACTGCGCTGGAAAAGCGCCACGCAAGCATGGCAAATGCACTGCTTTGTTTCACCAGCCTTATTTCACATTGGGAATGACGCTGGGATAGTGTCATGAGCTTTTAAAGGCATCACATTTTTAACCCAGTCCTTCTCCTGCTTTTCAGCTTCCCCTTCTCCACGCGTGCCCGCTTAAAGCACCCATTGTGCATCCAACGCCTGCTCTTCAACTTCCCCTTCGCCACACACGCCCTCAAAAGCCAATGGCGCATCCAGCAAAGCCAACAAAGACAACCTGGAAGGATTAGTGGCTGGCAGGTTCAGGACAGCAGGCTAACCACTCCCAATGACATATCATTGGTCGATGCTGAAGACCCTTTTAAGGGACGGTCCTTGTTTCAGCACTTCGCCAACAAGGTACCTTGGCTGCGCCTAGTTCTCCGGGCGTTGGAAGGCCCCTGTGCAACAGAGAAAGTCGCCCAAAAGAAGATGTGCCCGATTGCCGCTCCCCATCCCTAGCAGCGCCGCGCCAAGCCCTAACCGAGCCCCAAGCCACATTTTCCCTGTAACTGGTGACTGCTTCAAATTATCTCACAATTATAGCATAACTGACAGTTAAAAACTAACAAGTTGGACTGGCAAGATCCGACTTGATGAGCCTGCGCAACAAGATTAACAAGATGTGCCCGTGTGATCACGGCGCGTTCTCTTCTTTTGATTTTTTCCATTCATGATGGGCCCACCGAGAACCACTTGGCAAGCTGTCTCCACGGCTCTAATGCCTCTAGCCCTAAACCTTTTAAAGTTCATTGAGAGCTCTACCCCAATGCCACAGCAACCTCTAAGAGTTGCTGCAGGGCTGGCAAGGAAGCTGACACTAATGACCAAGGATGAGTGAGTTTTCACCATTGAGTTCTCTCCACTTGCCTTGCAGCGGCTCCCACGCTCACGCTCACTTCCTGCGAGGCATACTCGTCGTTGATGAAGACATTGAGGCCCTGGAAAGCCTTCCCATGTCCATCAATCAACGCTTGCACAGTCAAGTCTGCTGGTTTTCTCGTGGCGCTGCGACAGTGCCAGGTGTCATTGTGAATTTGAAAGAATATGTGATTCTGATTCTGCAGCTGGTGGCCAGGCTCAAACAACGCCACTATCCTCGAGCACTGTCAAGCCGAATTTGCTTCCATGGCTGCCTTTTTGGAACAGGCCACTCTCGACATCTACGTCCAAAACAAGATCACAGAGCCCATGATCGAGCACTTCATGGACGGCATGATAGTTGAGGAGGACAGTGAGGCGCTTGAAAGCTTGCGGGAATGTTGCCGGTATCTGATACAGACCAATGGCATGGTGAACCGGGAAGACCTTGCAATTGTGTGGGTTTGCATCACACAAGCTCAGCTTTGCAGGCTGGCTGACAAAGATGCTGACTACGCGGCAGCCCTGCACACACCCGTCAGCGGGATGGGCCACTTCTACTTGACAGATTTTGGGTGCTTGGTCAAAGCCAGTGACAAAAAGCGGGTGCGTGGTGAGATCAAGGCCGGCATCCAGATCCTCAAGTTCGTCCGGGACTTGTTCTTGGAAGAAGAAAAGGACGACGCAGGCATTCTTGATGATGCCTTGGAAGTCCTGGCATATGACCTGGCCAATTTGTGATGCAGCCAAAAGGGCGATGCAGTACAGTATCAGGATGATCATCAGCGACAGCTAGCCGGGAAAATATTGACAAGCCACAAGCAATGACAAAAAACTATGTTTGCGCAAACAAATGGCGCTGTGACAGTGCCAGGTGTCACTTTGAGGTTGTTGACCTTTATTCTTTGCAGGGCAGCGGCAGTGCCCAAGCCCTATAGTGGTGACAGGCCTGGGGCCCAGAGCCAAGCTTTGCTAAGGAAAACATTTCTCTCACACAGCGCTTTATTATCTTTAGTCTTGGCCCAGGCCAAGCTGAGAGGCGGACTCACTCTGCAAGCCAGATGCAAAATGACTGAGTGCATCTCAACGGGTTTGTTAAATTCCTTGACCTTTCTCACTCAACGCAAGAATAACACACTGTGATTTTCTGTCACAAAATTTAAGCGGCGCTATCTCAGTATTCATATTATATTTAAGAACTTTTTCTAACTTAAAATACAGGACAGCACTCCAATCCTTCAATCCCGCTTAACAGCTAGTAAGTTTGGACCTGTCCACGGTGAGAACTCCCGTTTGCTCGTATTGCGAGAACCCGAGGATCGCTGCCTTTGACATGAGGTAGATATGAAAGCCAAAGAAGAGCACGACCAAGACCTGCCAAGAGCACGCGAACGGGGAAGTGACGGCAAAGAAAACTGCGCTCTCTTTCGGTTCACCGGGCTGGCCAAACGACACAATCTTCCCTTACAAGGTGTAGGTAACATCCGAATCGGATGGGTTTCGGGACTAGAATCGAAGTAGTTCTACAGGATGGTCCTGGAACCTTTGGGTCAAGAGAAGGGCTAGCCCCACATGTTTGCCTCCTCATGGGGTGCCGAGGGAACCAATTCCACTACTTCAGGGTTGAGGCCGGTGTGACAGCACTTACCCTCTGACAGGCTTTTTTTATGTCCTTCGGTCTCTTCTTAGCACCAAGAGGTGAAGACTGAGGCTGCTGCCCCCAGGAAGCCCGCCAACGTCTCGCCGAACATCAGCCAAAACCTAAGCGTCACTGGCAATAACCTCTGAGTGGAGAGCACTGGTGTTGGAAAAGCTATGAATAAATTCCAATGACAAACACAACCACATCAACGCAAGTGCCCCAAAAATCCCTGCGACAAGGGTTTTGATTCAAGGTCTCAATTTGCAGCCAACATGGGCCAACATCTTTTCACAAAGGCGCAAACGATCTTCAGTGTCGTTCGGGAATCTGAATCGTTCTGAAATCCGGAGGCATTCATCCCAAAGAGCAAAGAGCAACCGCAAGCTCTTTAGTCGGGCCCTTGAGCATTGGATTGGCTAACACAGCTAATGGCAGAATCCACAACCCAAAATGATTTGGGAAAACCTCAGAAGATTCTTGGGCTATCTGCGGTGAGTTTGCTTGTCGCGAGGTCATAGCTCTGTTGTTCTTGGCCATGGGGGCCAACGCAGTTCCATTTTCCCTTTCTATAGCCTATGACTGTCAAAAATCCTACCCCCACTACCTGAGGGCTCTGTGTGGCCATGTCGTCCTGGCCCAAAGGTAGATACAACCGAGGGCTCTGCATGGCCTTTCCCGAGGCAAAATGATTTGGCAAAAGGACTAGTGGGTACTAGGTAATGAATAAGCAACTATATAAAACATTATAAAACGCAGTGCATGGCCAAACAATTGAGAGACTATACAACTTTGAGGAAGCCATGGTGATGCAGAATTCAATTCTCACCGCACCCACAGCGCTTTGATACGTCTTTCAACAAAGTAATACGGCTTGAACCTAGTGGTAGTAAGACCATTATAACTCTTTGTCATCTCCAATAAGCGCTTGCTTCACCGTCTTTCAACATAAACGTGTTCAACTTTGTGAACAAGACAGGTCCAACGCATCTGGCAACAGAAAGTTCAGTTTGCTCAAATTTGCCCAGGCACATGGTCATGAAGGGTGTGGTCGGCTGAGTACCAGCCCTGCAGATGTGCCGCTCCAGCTTTGCTTTGAAGGCTTTGTTGGTGTCAAGTGGCTCCCTACATGCTTGGGCTGGGAACATCATGGGTTGGAGTGTTCAGCGATACCTACACAGCATCCAAATTCAAGGATGCTCATCCCATCCCTAGAGTTGAATGGAGTGTAAGCACGTGCCACCCATGTTCACCTTATGGAAGGGGGTGCAAAAGCCAGATTCATCCCAGGAGTGACTCATAGCGGCCAACAAAGTCTATTCGAAAATGCTCAGGCCGTCCAGTTGAGGAGACCCCGTACCAAATTGGTGCGCAATTTGAAGGAACCATGATCCATACAAGAAAACGTGTCAACAAGTCTTGATTTCTCCTACGACATGGACATGTATCACTACCCGGATCTTTGAAACGGCATGGCAAAACCAATTAGGCCCTTTGAAGATCCAGGTTTGTCTTGGTGCCTCCTATCTTCTGAACATGTTGCCTATATAGTAATGAAGCATGGTAAACACTGGTTCTTTTTCAGAACATGTAACATACAGTCGGACTGGCGGAAAAAGCGCGTCTCTCCCCTCATCTGCATCAACATCGACCATGTTGATCATCACTGGATCTAGTGTCGAAATAGTTTGATACTGAGAAGCCACTCAAGACATACTCAGTCAGAACCTTCTCAAAGGGTATGTGGTTCCGGATTCGGATAGGAATACACATGGATACACATGAATACTGAATACACCCAAACACCTTCTGAGAATGGATTGCTCTTTTGCATTTCTTAGCATCCCTTCTGTGCTTCGATCCCGCTCTTGAGCTCCATCTGGGCGGAGTCGCCTCACGGTTGGGAGCATGTTCGCCACGATGTAGAGGCAATCGATGCTGGTGTAGAGGAGCAAAAGGAAAAAGTACTTGTAGTTCCTGGCCAACAAACCTTGTGATTGGTTGCAAGAGGCTGGCAACTGTTCCGGGGCCCGGGGTTCGTTGAGGATACCGATGGAGGGTGTCCTGACCATTCTGATTGATAGACAAATTTTGTACCTGGAGCCTCAGCCAATAATATTTAGAACCATAGGGACCATAGGAAACATTTTTGAGCAATCAGTAATCCATGTACGCCGGATCAACATATCCAAGGGCTTTCAAGTGATAAAGAGAAAGGGCAGGTTTCCGGGGCGTCCGCTGTATCTGTCTTGAACCTGCATCCTGCGGAGGTTCTAGCAGCTACTAGCAATGATTGGGTGGGCCTTGCAGCGATTGGTCTCAACTAAGACCAGCACGACATGTGGAACATTGTGGAACAAATCCATGGCTTTTTAGCAGGGTGATCCAAAGCCTATGGGATTTTCCATCAAGAGTTCTACAGCCTGGTCGATCCATCCTGTTCATGTTGGGACTTCTCGTTCACGGTGAATCTGTGCCCATCAAGGTAAAGAGGAGCAACAAACAAACGTGAAACAACACATTGTACACACATGCTGTAACATTTTGGGGGGTAATCGATCTTCATGCACTGCGGGTTGTCCAAATGCACACACAGTTCGAACATTAAACTGCAGCGGTCCTGAAGCCTACGCAGTTGTAGATCCAAGGGCAGTGGTGATCCATCTTTAAGATGCAAATACGGCACACCTGGCGAGCGTCACTGCCGGTTGCATCGTCTCTGCCTTTCCCAAAGTCATAATCTTGTACCAACGTGTACTGAGTACTGGTTTACTGGGACACACCATAGTCATAGCCCTAGTCCTCTTAACCTCACATCAAGTGTTCCACAATCCCAACTCTTTTCCCTGCGAGCGATATCTTTCCGCAACCCTTGGGTGGCCATTTCTGTGACATTCGTCTGATTCTTTGGAAGGGGGGCGTTTCCATTTGCCTCCAGCTGAGAGTCTGCAGGTAATGGACACAAACACCCCAAACTCAAGGAAGAACAATGGGTTGTAGAAAGGACACCCGATCCGCGTGTGAACTACAGCTATGTAAAATCACGGACAAGCACTGTGCCTCAAATGAGACGAACAACTACCTAATTGAACAGTTTGTGACTCCAAGTTCTGTCGAACAGATCATTTACCATGAGCCGGACTTCAAATGCCATACAAAACACTGACAAAAAAACAACGGCAGGCTAATGACAGGTACTACCATGCCAGGTGTCATTCTATCACGTGCAGGAAATTTACACCTACAAAACTCCTCGCGCGGGGTTTATTAGGCGGACCCCACATTTGAAGGGAATCCATGAATCACCGTCCGCGGGTTCAGAACCTCAAAAGGTCCGTCGCTCTCAACGATCTATCTTCCAACGTTGGGTATCATGATCCCATTCCCTGCAGGCCGAGTGAATGATGATGGTTAGGTTGCAGGCTGACATCAAAATCGTGTTTGTTGTTTCATCTTGAATCGACTGTTACAGGCAATGGGACGGTGTTGGCTTTTGAACCATGGCCGACACTTACTTCAGAACACTCCCATACACCCATACACTCCCTGGAACCGGAACACCTGGAAGGATGACCCCTGTTCCGAAGACCCAACAGGTATAGCGCCAAATAGGGCCACACGCCAAACACCTCCATGAATTCAAGGTATAAGTTCTAAGGTGTTTGACGTTCTAAGGTGTTAGGTTCATAGACCGACCAATCAGTACACCTGGAGACCCACTCCAAATGGGAAGAAGTGTCACTGCTTTCGTCTGTGTTCAGAATCCGAACAAGAGCGGTTCTGATTCGATCCTCTGGTCAAGTTCCGAAGACCTATCTGCGTGATGGATCCAAACATCCAAAGCAGTTTATCTTGCAAGCGCTGCCCCGAAAAACTCTCTTTCCACGTTACCATCTACAACTTCACCCAACAATAACAGCCTATTCCGTAGACTAATACAGGCAAGGCTCCCTACAATGGTGACAACGGTCAGGCTTGTACCTGTGCAAAGCGTCTCGAGTCGAGGATGTTCGCCATGTATATATATGTTCTTTGAACAACTAAAACACAAAATCTCTACACCACTCGGGTGTCGTCGCCAAGCCATGATGACGTCGTCTGTAACTTCATGCAGAAGTGAATATCGATGTTCGTCAACCCCAAGAACTGTTTCAACATGTTTCAAACAACACTTGCAGTAAAAAGACTTGTGGAGTCACAAAGCTATATATGAGTGATCATTAAGTGATTTCCGTCCGGATTCGGAAGAAAAACAACATCACTTCACTTGAGTCTGTCCACCACCAATCACCACCTGAGCTTCCCAGCTTCAAACACCACTTGCAGTGTCTTCGATCCCCGGAACGCTTCATCTCCTGCAGCAACCGACACCGTCTCCGTCCGACAGCACCGGTGTCGGTTGCAGTACGTCGCGGTACGGGTGGGTGGAAGAATGGCCTGAACATGGCCTGAGCATCTGGAAATGTTCGGGTCAACCCATTCAGTATAGACAGGAAGAATGATAACTCTGTATTGAATGGTACAGTGCCCCCATTCATGATGTTTGGCTAGTTGGGTTGACTTCTTCCTGTCGTATCCTGCCTACATCTCTCCTCCTGCAAGTGAATCACATGCAAATACGAACAAACACCGCAGCAAACGCGGAGAAAAGATCGACCAACCCCGCTTAAGCACATGAATGTCCCAAAAGACAATACATGTTTCAGTAGGAATTGAAATTGCTCATTGTTCACTTTAGATGTCTACACACCCATCAGCAAGGGTTTGCGATGGGAGCGGGATTGTACCAGTCTACTGGATTTCACGCACTCGCCACAAGGACGATCTGATCCATATGGGGCTGCATATATCCCAAGTTGTCCTGCATGTTCATCAGGAGATCAGCTGCAATGGGTTGCGGCCCCTGGCCGTTCACTTCGGAAGGGTGAGTCAAAAAGACATGGATTGCCCAAGATCCGGGCCGTGTAAATAATGGTTGCCCACACCCACTCGTATGTAAGCTTTGTGTGAAAAAGGTATCAGGTGAGAATATCTGTTGCCACTTTGCAGGGAAGTTGATCGGCATAGGAGCATGCATGTGTCTTGCAGTTGGTGTAGATCCGCATGCAACAGTAGTCTTAGTGTAGGGACCGGGACTATTCAACTTAGATCGTTATTCACACCTGGAGCGTTGAATTGGTCCGTTTCCAGGGTCATTTGAGGTAGCTAGGGAGTCTTTCAACCTTCTGAGAGAACAAGAGTATGATGGTGATGGCACCATCGAAGAGTTTTTGTCCATTCACCGTCTTTTATACCACTTCCAAAAAGGTTGATTCTTTTACATAGAACTACCATAAAACTAAAGAACTACCACTTTTGCACACCACGCTTTCTTTCCTGCGGCGCCTCGGCCTCATCATAGTCCCAGGAGGGGTCCTGCGGTCTGCAGTGCTCGTCCAACACCGTTGGAAGACCGTTGGGGTCATAGGGGTCACACCGTTTGGGTCTTGGAGTCCCGTCCAAAGTTGACTAGAATACGAGGCTCCCTGGGCCTGCCTTTAAGCCCTCAAAGACAAAGAAGGACCACATCAAAGACACGGGTTAAAGCTTCTGTGACTTGATTCGATATGGTTGATGCTTTCAAGCCAAGGTGTGCCAGCTTGCTTGGAAAAAGGGGTTTTGTAATGTTTTGTCATGTTTTTATCTAAGTGTGCTTATTGAGGCTGTGTGGGAACTTGAGCCATCCATCCGAACAAATTCCAGAAGGTTTTGCCACGGCTAAGCACTTCTTTCCTGACAAAAGGTCTGCAATCTGTGCAAAGCAAGCAGTTGGACCACTTGGAGTGGATCTATTGAGCAAGCCGGTTGCAAGTAAGGAATCCCCAGAAAATGATAACTCGAGTAAATACATCCCAAAAAACTCACCATAAGGATTGAGGTCACATGAAGAATTCCCCACATGAAGAATCCAGTGGATTCCACGGCCGGTCATTCAACAAGGTCTCGTCATCTGACGAGCTTTCCCCCACGTCGTAGTAACAAGTGCATCGCTAGTAGTAACAAGTGCCTTACTAGTAGTAACAAGAAGCGAACGTAGAAACAATAAGCTAATAGCTGTGGTGAACCTAAAGGCCCTGCCTGCCGGACATCGGTGACCCTCCTCCCGGCCGTCCTCTTCCTTGTCAGGGATGGTCCCCGGATGGACAAAGACCTCAGCCAAAGGATCCTTCTACAAAGGATGAAGACTCAAAACGGGTGAAAACTCCTTGGAGGCTCTGACTGGAAGAGATCAAGCGATCAATTGAAAGTGAGAACCAGCACCACATAGCTTGGGTGGTTTATAGAACCCCACTGACTTGCTGTTTTCGTCATCTCCGGCTGGCGCCAGGAGGGTGCTCATGAAGGACACATCATCTAGGCTATTGCCATGTTGAGTAGCAGCTAAGTGTTGATGATCATGTTGAGCACCTGACTCCAATGAGCACAAAATGTCATAGCCATTGATGTACAAGATATGCCGACTGAAATTCTGCTGGGATGTACATGTGTTAAATCTTGGCAAAAAGCACAAATATAAAGGCACTCTTGCAGTCTAGGAGAATATATAGAAAACATGAGCAAACAATTTATGTGCCCTTGGTTTGTCAAGGCTAGGTGCTCTCATGGTTCTTTCTGATCATTGTCAGCACCAGCAAGCAATAACTCCAACTGTACTTTTATGCAGCATTCTTGCGCTTAGATGGTTCAGCATCTCCTCAACAGAAACCTCTCAGAGTCACCAGGGCGCGTGTTGTCCCGTTCTTGTTCGACAGATGCAACGACCAAGGCTCCACACGCAAAGCGCGTAGCAATACAGCAGCATAGCGGTGACCTGGAAACATTAAATACCTTATCCTTGAATGTGAGTCATTCTGGAGTTGGTTCGGTGGCAACTATGATTTGATGCAGGTGAAAGCGTTTTTGTTTTGTCATGTTGATGATAATCAGTTTGATTGGACTGGACTAGAGTCTAAAGCTTGTTGTGGTTCCACTCATTGGTTCTGCGCGATATGGGTGACTGAGACCGGCCCCACCCAATCCTTGAGACTTTGAGCTCTTTTGGAGGACAACAAGCATCTTCAATGTGAACCATGTATAAATAATGGAAGAAATCCTTGTCCTTATCATTATCCTTAAACAACATATCAACACACAGTCAAACACACCTGTCTTTTTCAACGAGTACTTTTTCAACGAGTATTGGGAGATTCTCAGAAAAGGCTCCCGGGCAGGATCGAACCTTTGAATCTGTCCACGGATTTCCTCGATTCAGGGATACCTTCATGTGGCTGTCCCATGCCATGTAGAACCTCTCAGCCAATGCATCTGTCCTTGCAAAGCAAAAAGCAAAGGTAACAACAGTCCCGCAAGCCGCCCCGCCAACTTGTGCAGCGCGAGTTGGCCAACAAGTCATGCCAGAGTGACCGCATGGAATACAAATGCATCCAACAAGGCACTCCCTCTGGTGGTTTTCTCCTGGCAGGTCCGGACATATTACAGTGATGATCACCATCGACAAACAGAGTCCCTCCACCACGATTTCCATGTTCATGATGTTCATGGTGTAGTGGAACATGAAGACTTGAATTGATTGAATTCACCCTCTTCGTCACCTGGTTCATCTGATTGAACTTAGATCCTTTCTTTCTTTCCACGGGAATCACCAATTCGATGCTTTGCTGCCGGTCATGAGTCAGATGGATTCCAAGAGCCCAAAGGTTGGCAGCAACAAGCGATCCCAGGGCTTCAAAGGTCAAATGAGTCATTGGATGCATCAAAACCGATAGAACATTTCTGAGTCCCCTACCAGTCCCGTGCCCTCACGTGAGGCGTCCAAACAAATAGAAGATTTGTGAGTGCCCTGTAGAAATGGAAAACCGTGTCTACCGATGATAGAATATGGCAAATGGTTGGATGGATGGATTCATGATTAAACAATCTACAAGTGTCAATTCCCAGCTTCTGAAGATGGGCAATGAGATTGATCAACGAGTGGAGTTGTTTGTGGTGATACGTGTGCACCAGCAGTTGGAACACTGGCTTGAAGGTGATATTCCAAATTCCTGCTTCTGCTTGTTGATGGGGCACGCTCCCACGCCGACCCTTCCATGCGCCAGTGAACGGGGTGCAAAGCGCAAGCGCTTAGTGGCAAATACATGGGCACAGGATTCATGGCGAAGACAACTTCCTCCAGTTCCTGACATCAAACACTTAGTTAAAATAGTTGTCTGATGGGTTCTTGATCTGCTACCAAGCACACTCCATGCAGTTCCTTCTCAACTCATGGTAGAAGCATCAGCTCTTATAGGAACTACATGGAACCAGACTTCTCCAGATGTTGCCTTCACCCACGTCTTCCCCATAGCACCGGCCCTCCTCAAAGCGAGGGCCCAAGTGGAAAGTCGTGTAGATGAGATAAAGGCCTCAGTCAGTAAAGGCGAGGCTCTCGCATGGCACATGCTTCCCACCACCATGTCCTGCTTTTCCCCAGTTCAACATGAACACTCGAGGTCTTCAACGACCACCCGCGGAAAAAAAAAGAGTCGCCTGATGTCAGGGGTGGTTGGTCATGCAAAAGACGTGCCGCCCAACGCATGGCGTTTTCAACGCGCGAACACGTCCAAGGGGCCAATGATCATGGCCAAGATAAAGGCGACTGGAAGGAACTTCAGCGGTTCGGGAAAGCGCTCCTGCGCTTCGCAAGTGTCACGGTTTGCGGCCATGCGGCCATAGTCACTAGTCCAGTTGGATGTGTTTTGCGTGTCAAGGTGACAGGTGTTGGAATCTGTATGGAGAATTGGTGAGGGGTCCGTAAACCTATGTAAAAGGGATTTGATAAACTTTTTGAGAGCTTGTCAGGCCACCAAGAATCGTTCGTCAGCAAAAGCCAGTTAAAGCCAAAGCCACAACCCCTTAGGAATCAATGACTTTAACTGACCAATGGGAACTCACCAATGTGATCACCTCATCTGACGTTAGCGAAAGCCAGTGAGTGATTGCCATCACCTCATCACCTCATCGACTTGGGGGCACTCAACCAATGTCTTGCTACCCAAAGCCACCCAATTCAAAAACCAAACCCACCCCCGTGCTGCTCCTCCCAGCCCGGTGTGGGAAAGTCATCTTTGACCCTCAGCACGGCTGACGGTCAAGTGCATCATGCAGATGAAGCGATGCTTGTGATTCATGTTGGATAGTTCAGCTCCGAATGCGGAGCACGTGCTGGGTCCCCTGAGTAAGTTACCCCCAAATAGACAGAAACAATATCGTACACCTCCTATCAATTCTTGAGAGCAATTAGAACAGGTCAGTTGCAAGAGGAATTGAAGCCAACGTCAACAGGATGCCGAGGTTCTTCCTTTGTGGGGAAGAGAAGTTTGAGTTCTCCTGAAAATGCCTCTAGAACCTGAGGCAGGCTTAACTAGCGGTGCTGGCATGTGGATTCCCGACCATCAGGAGGTGCGGAATACAGTCAGTTGAGTTGCAAGTGAGGAGGTCAAGAGACACAACAAATCAAAATCACTTCATCAAAACTCGCATTGAAGTCGCGGAACCTGGGTCTCTTGGAACAAGTGAAACTGTCCTAACTATGGTTGGAACCGTTTTGACTTTGTTGAAACCCACAAAACATTCATTCTTTGAGGGTTCATGATACTTCGCTGAGTGGTGCTTAGAAGTAGAAAGGGAATGAGGGAATGGATTCAAAGGAATCTATCTTGGGTCCTCATTCCCTCATTCCTTGCCAAGCACCACCCAGTCCGGGCGCTTGATCATCTTGCTGTTGCTTCACATTCACTCGAAATGTGGCACACCAACGATGCCACCTACACCACCTGGGCTAATGAGCTGTCATAGAAGCCGAGTGCGAAGGGGGATCATCCTTCAGCACTGAAATTCGTCTACCTGCCACTCCGGCGATCTCCCAATGAAGGAATTCCCAACTCCCCTCGCTGTGACACGCCCAATTGCCCAAACGTGCCACGTGCGACCGAGCTTCCCGAACATGTCCTCTATTGGCCTCACAGGTCAACGCAGAAGCAAACCGCGCCTCTTCCAACTGTCCCTCAAAAGTACTCAGTTTGCTCCTCCTTACCACTAGCTCACCAGGGTGAGCTATTCACACATATACTCATTCCGAGTTGATGGAACAAATTGTAGCAACTCACATCAAACACATTTAAAAACCTGCCACTCTCTAAGTCTGTCACTTTCCCATTCCCTAAGAACTCTTCCTTCAGTCACCCACCCGCAGCTCACCGGCACCAGGCCCCCGGGCTTGGTGTCTTTCGGTGCTTCAACGGGTGGGGGCGGTTCGGCCGGGCGGTTTCTGTGAGCGTCGGCGCCCCGAAGTGCTGAAGTTCGCCTCGGAGGGCGGGCGCAGCCGGAGGGGTCTGGTGAGTTGCGGGGCCAGGAGGTATGGGGAAGGTGTGAGAGGTGAGAGGTAGATAGAATTCAGAATCACCAGGGGCAGAATAGATGTTTAGAAGATTGTTGGAAGATGTCAAGATTTATGAACTCGGTGGTCTGAGTTGAAGATTCTGAATGCGTGATGAGAATGATAGAACATGTATACATGATAGAACTCAGAGTTCTGCATACATGATACATCTTGACTAAATGACTTTCTTGGGACCAAAGCAACTTGAGATGCTCACCGAGGGCAAGCATCACAAAACGTCTTACGGTTCATGAAACCGTGGACACACCGTGTGTGACACACCTTCACATCCAGTGCCAGTGATTGTAGATTTCTTTTCTCCAGTTCCCAGTTTTGGAAAACCTGCCAGGCCTTCATTTGGACCTCAATGACGTTACAGGCCCAATGGGGTTGCTCATCCTCCAGAAATCGCAATCTTTGGAACGACACCTGTGAAAGCCGAAAGCAATCTGATTTGAGCAGCGCGGGGTTTGTGGCCGGGAATTGGCGCATCTTCCAAGCAGAAACGCCAGAGTATAGAAAAGAGAGAAGTTAGGGAGATGTTTCTCCCCTTCTTTTAAAGAAGTGAGTCGCGAGGTCCTGGAGTTCTCCGGTTTGGCGGAGCAAGCAGGGGTGACTCAAATTTGGTCTCTAAGGCTCCAGCTATTAGATCTTCATGAACGATCCAGGCGAAGCCGGATCAGGACGAGGCGTCCGAGAACAGACGCTGGGTTGAGCCGAAACCATCGGTGCACGACATGGAGCATATGAGGAAAGTCGGGGGGGGATATGGTTTGGTGTACCTGGAGACATTTCACGTTTGGGAGGGCACGACCCTGTTTTCGAGGCGGGCGAAATCGTGGAGCAGGGAATGTGTGGGTCCACTTCTTCACTTTCCAATGCAGCTCAGGGAAACCCTTGCGGGCCCACTCAGGTTAGAAGCTTGACCACGCTTGCGGACTGTGTCCGGATTCTCTCAAATGGGGGATACATCAAAAGCAGTACAAGCAACAATCAGAGTGCAGCGCGCAAAGATGGGCTGAAAAAGCCGTTGCATCCTGAGAATTTGACCACCAACAGACATCGAATCTGAGCCATGCATCATCCACTGTGTTCAAAGTGGCTTCGTACTGGCCTCATCAGACACTGCTGATTCATGACAAATTAGTCCACAAGCAGAACTGACTGGGTCCACCAGAATTTTCAAGGTACTTGACTTTTGGCCAACACCATCTACTCTACACCATGCAAAGGACTTTATGAACCCACCGAAACCTGCTGATAGAGCCCTTCACCGAGAGGATCTTCACCAATATCTGAAATCGACAGCCAGGTTTAGCCTTCCTGCAGATCCCAATCCCTCCGTGCTTAGCCCACCTCCCCGCCAGCATGGTCCCCCCGTTTCTTCGCGCAAAAAGAGCTCGGTCTGCGCCGCCAACTCCGCAGCGCAAAGCAGACATATGCGCCGGACTCCGACTCCGGAAACCCCCCTTTGAGGGGCGCGCGGTGGTCGGGTGCGGTGGATTCCAATGGATTCCAAAGTCATGGCAACATGGAGTTCACCACTCCGAAAGATCACCGGTTCATCATGGTGAAGGAAGTGATGCGTCTTTGTGCCGAATGGCCTGGACTGTTTATATCGTGGAAACCTGTAGAAAAAAATGATCATTATCCATTGCAAATTCAACATAAAGGATTGTGCACCCAGTGCACCCTCTGCAAAAAGAGGAACACGTATCTCCCTTCATTGAAGTTGAATTTCATCACAAAAAGGGACACCTCCACTCTTAGTTAGAGATCCACCGGGTTTAAGCACCAATTAGTAAGGCGACCAAAAGGCAGCCAGAAGACAATGCAGCACCTTGAACACCGAGCATTCTCGGACATCTGACCACCCAAAATATGGTCTAAGGGAGGGTGCAAGCCTACATGGCATGATCTAAAGAAAAAGGTGCATCATGTGAAAGAATCGTTTTCAGATGTCTTCATGTTGCTGGCACTAGGCAAGCGAGGTCTAGCAATGCGATCAAATCAATCGTGCTCTCCTCCTTTGCTACTCTGTCACACTGACTGTTTCTGGAGGGTCAACTCCATGTCTCCACGAGATACACGGGGTCAGGGTCACAGCTTGGACCTCCCCTCGCTTCGCTCAAGGGCGAGCGCGAGGCGGTCCGACGTTCGTGGCTCCATACGTGTTGGAAGGCCTCCCAGGCAACCGGGAGGGGTCGGAAAATAGGGCAGTCTACCCATTGGGCCAGGGGTCTCCCTATTGAAATACTCCTACTACCATTTCTGGGTGCTTTGGTTCTGAAGCAAATTGCCAAAGATGTGCTCCAATTGAACGCCTCAACCAAGAGAACCTCAAATTGTTGGTGAGCAAGTCTTCAAAGGGAAACACCCCCCATCAAAAAAAACTGTATAAAAGACTAAGACCAGCCATGTTCATATATATACATGAAAAAAAGGTTTGTTAAGGTAGAGCACACATCAGGAGCTTGTCAATATGACCATTGCTGGTGGGAGACACAATGAAACCAGTAAAAATATGTTAAACTGTGTTAAAATCATGTTGGCTCGCGTTCCTTTTGTTCCAAGCTGCACCCACACCCAGCAGCGATGCGTATCACAGCGCCGCAATGGCATTTGCGATGACCTACTATACCGGCTGGCAGGCGGATTCACTTCCGGCTGGCAGTCACCTCACAGACTGTTTGGTGCCTTTGAATGAAAGCTATCATCACACCTCCTACAAAACAAGCACCAGATCAATGCATGCCAAACGTGCTACGATGTTTGCATTGCTACACGTAAACAGTAGCATCACGAGCATTATTCAACAACAATTAACCAGGCAAACATACGGACAAATGTCTATAGATATCTATAGTATTCTATATAGTGAAAAAAATACAGCCAACATCGACCAACAACATAATCCAGGATTCAGGATCGTACTACTATACTACTTTTATGTCTGGGAAGCTTGGTGGGGAAGCTGCTGAGATTGAGCTGTTCCCATCCCACGCCTGGTGGGCACGCCAATAAGACCTGGCAGCTGGATAGCTGGTTGGATGGGTAGGCAGTGACAACCAAGTGCCCAGATTGCGCAGGAAGGAGAAATGCCATGTGTCAAGTTCTTAAAACTGTTGGGCATAGAAAAGTAGATCCCCACTAATAATGTATTGGAAACCGTGCCACTATTTGGAGACCACTATAGAATATGAACACATATGAAGCCGGTTTTAGTTAAGGAAAGTTGAAGTCTTCCAAGGCCCTTTCTGCTGTTTACGACTCCAACGACCGGAGCTTCCAAAACAGAATCAACGTGAGTCAATGAACAAAGATCTTGGAAAGTCAAACACTTCACACTTCTGAGCAATCAGAAATTCCAATATGGATCCTAAAAGGCAAGTTTTCAAAAGAACAGCACTGCAAATAGGTCCAACAGATGGTACAAGAAGGACGCGAAAACATCTGCTCTCCTCGTTTTCACTCGCCGGGTGTACGCAATGCGAGTGAAGGGCCAGCCGAGAACCTGCCGGAGCCAGGCAGATCGCCTTTGGAGTGGATCGCTTCGTCCCCTTTAACAGGTTGCTAAAGGGAGCAGGTTTCAGCTTGGGTCCCAAGTGCTGAATTCTAAGTTCAACAGGTCAAGCGTCCAAGGCTGAATAAGGCTGAACATGTTTCCCCCAATGCCATGGGGTCTTACAAGTTAATTGAAAACCAGAAAACCACCTCCGAATCGGCAAGGGCAAAACTAACAACCCGAGTCACACATGTGGCTGTGGCAGTTCAAATGATCAAAACAGCAAAAAAGACACTATATAATAGATAACTACAGTCCAATATCACTAAATCAAAACAGTTCAAAACCCAGTAGCCTTCTTCTGCATTCCCTTTTTTCATCTTCTTTTCCAGTGGTCGAACCAGTAGGATCCTGAAACTGCAGAGTTTGGAACGGGAAACGTGCTTGCACTGGATTCGTGGGCCTTGAGCCCAACAGCTCGGACTTTTGAACCAACAGGAGTGCATGGCTGACACAAGGACTTTTCAGAAGCTGCAGGACCCTGCTAATAAGCTTAGATGGCATTCCTCCCCCCAAAAAAGAAAGATTGGTCGCTTCAACAAGCGATCTCTTTGAGTCACATGTAGTACTCCGCACCTTCGCAACTCAACGGATGCCTTTGGTACCTCTGTTGCCACATGTTTCACCCCGGCGAAGCACGGTCAGGTCGCGTCGGATCGAACCTTGATGGATCGGCTCACCTCCAAATCGTCGTCCTGCGGTGTCGGGACTCGGACGTTCTGCCGGTGACCCGGTGGGGGTCAGGAGGGACTCCGAAGGGTACAGTACCTTGGACTTGAGTCCCAACAGTGACGGGAAACAACACCATATAAAACAATCACATGAAGTCGCAGGAAGCTGCGAGTCGATGTAGAATAATACAACTTTGAGACAGATCCTGCAAACATCCTTTTGGGTAATCATTACCAGATCCGTTCAGAATTTGGCCAGCCCGACGGCTTGCAGACCCCAAGGCCATCCACAGGTCCAAGCGGAATATAGGAGCAATTTACTCCCTTTGATCGCAAAACAAAGCAAACATGGCACACATACCAACAAGCAGCCGGCATCAGCCTATATCAGTCTTCCGGGTCTCCACTTTGGCCTCAATATCATGACAGAACTGCCACAAAGCAGCAAAACCAGAATCTTCGGAAAAAGTGCAAACGGTCTATGCGAAGTTCCAGCAAAAGGACAAGCAAGACAGGAGCAAAGAATTTCTAAACATGGGCAAAAAGCTGGAAGCTACAGAGAAGCACACTAAGTTTCTCAAAGCACCAGAAGTTACCACAGCAAGGCCTTTCCAGACTCTACTGCTCCAACAGCACTTTCCAGGCGCCGGAAAACAGGGAAACTGACACATGCAGAGCCAGTCTGGAATCTTCAGCACCCAACACAACAGGTCGGTTGATATCCAGTAAGCAGCCAGGCGGCGCAGGCCAGTGAATTTAAACTTAGTCTACACAAGTCCGCCAAACCATACAAAGAATGACAAGGCGCGTAGCTGGCGCCAACGGCTGGTAGCTTGATGACTTACAGCCTGAGGCCCTGAAACATGCAGCGGCATTCACTGGATCTATGACGAACGCAGAGCGCCACAGAGGCAAAGCGGACTGCCTCCTGAGCTCCTCTTTGAACGACATATAGATCTCCATCCGTCAAATTGAGGCTGGCCAAAGCGGCGCTTCAAAGATCTTCAAAGTGACTCCCCCCAATCATAGTTTGGCAGCTGACTTTTCCACAGGAGATCAAATTGACACGTGGTTTTCCCATATCGCTCAAGCAAGTAAGATGTCGATGTGATGGATTCAATGAAACCTGTCGTCAGTAGGCCATCCATGTCACAATATCATGGCCAACATCCATGCAACACGTGAGTCGTGGAGCCTCGTGACGATGGCTGTTCTACATTTCCATAGTTCGGACCATCAGGCTCAGCCCTATACAATGACTGAAGAATGCATTCAGCACCCGGAGCGAGGTTTGTGGGACAAATCGCTGCAAGTCCTGCACTTCGATGAGATTTGGTTCAACAAGGCTACAAGGAACCAATTTGGAGGTGACCTAGCACCTTTTTCTGCAAAATACATAGCCCTAACATGGCAACGTTAAGAGTGGACCTCAACATCTTGACACACGGGTGTGTTCTATCTTTTATTCCCAGTGGGGCGGGGTCAATACTATTGGAAGGGACACACCGCACACGCGCAAGGTCTCTCAGACCAAGAAGGTTAAACACCACCCATGACTTCAGGATGCGTGGTCATGGACCTCGCGGACCTGCCACCGGCTCCTCTGGCTTCCGCAGCTCTGGGAAGCTGCAGGCGGGGCCCCCGAAGCGGCGGTTCCAGCCTGCCGCGGGTCTCGGGAAGGGTCCCAAAACGGCCGTGGCTCGGCGGGGAGGGTGAGTTGTGTGCCTTGCATGGGTGGTGTTTTCTTAAAGCTTGGTATGGTGAAAGTAGGTTGAAAGTAGAGGAAAGGATGGATGGAATGAGTGCAAGTGGTTTTGAAGATTGGGGTTGTAGGGTAACACTCATAAATTCCCAGAACACTGGTCAGGTCAATAACAATGAACTATGTAACTGTCATGAATCATGAATATTTAGTTGCTCTACTTGCGAATGCTCACCTTCCATATCGAATCCTTGTTGGATGCTCTGTCCAAAATCCACCGCCCTTGGCGTACCAATACCCCTGGTCCTGTGATGGCACCCATGAAGGCCAACATGGCTTGCCGCCAAACCTGCACACGTCTCACGGCTCACGGGAACAAAAGACCAGCCGCCATTCAACTGAGCTTGGCTGTGCTTCAAAGGCGTCCAACATCTACAAAGCTACACAGCCTGAAATAGTCATGGAAGCGGATGGCAGCAGCTGTTTGGTCTTCGGATTTCATGGTCGTCCGAACTCGGAGACTCGGGGCAATGCCATCCACTTGGACATCCATGATTATTTCAGGGAGTTGTGTCCCTCAAAAAGGACTCTGACTTCAAAAGGACAAATGCATCTCCTCCCAACTCAGAAGGCCTCAGTGACCCAAGTACCGTGGGTTTAGGTCCAACTCTTGGAAGTTGTGTCCAATTTGGAGGGTGACAGGGTTGTTTATTAAATCGATTCGTGTCGTGTGTTATTATTGCCAACCACTTCAAAAGCGAGCATTTTGGAACTAACTGGACTCCTCATGCTCGGTCTTTAATCCCACAACGAAAGTATGGATGGAGCCTTTGATTTAGCCCGTCAACAGTAGGCTGTCAACATGGAATCTATCACCATCATTAGCAAAGTCCAACATAAAATACTGGCAATTCCCTGACACTCCAAAGAAAAGAACCAATGACGCCTTGTCCCCACAGTCGCATTTGCATGACCTTGGTCATTCCATCTGTTCATATGTCCAAGTCCCATAGATCAGTGCGCGCCAACCGCGGTTTGCCCAGGGCAACATCGCCCAGTCCCACGACATGGCACCCTGGAGGAGCCCAAGCCAAAGAGGATGAGGACAGGCAGCCTGAGCTGTGGAGCCGGTCGCTAAATTCACCGAAGGAAGACTATAGCTCTACATGCATTAACAAACAAAGAATGGGGAATCATATCCTGCCTGGGCACGAGATCTGTCTATATGAGTCGATGACTGGGTCGATGTAGTAGGTGATTGTAGCTGAACCAAAGGGGGAAGAGGTTCTTGAACCAAGAGTAGAGTAAGCCTGACCATGCCCGACCGCACTGTGAGTGGTTCATTCCGGGACAGAACTCTATATAGAGGTATACGGTATACTCCTTTATCCTGACGAAAACAGCAAAACGGTGGCTCACCTGCACAACAACAGGGTGAGGCTCCCACCGGCTTGGGGGTGGGTGGTGCCCGGCACACCTCTTTTCTTGGGAAGTAGAGCCGAGCTACTGAAGGTCATGCGTTGTGGCTCCACCCACAAACGGTTCACGAGGAATTGCCCAGCGAAATCTTGCAAACCCCAATGGCAAAGCTTGATTGATGAATCAAACACAATCTCTCAGCCAAGAAGCACGCACAAGATCACCATCAGCAAAGTCACCGAGAGAACTGGGAAGATCCGACCAACCTGGCGCAGCCGCTCCTGCTTGCTGCTGGATGTCCCCCAAAGTCTTGTTGTTTTTCTGCTTCTGGATGTGCTGAGTGGATTAGTGGGCTGAGTGACTATATACTGTCTATCTTGTGTTGAGATCCCACAGTTTGAGTGGCTTAGTGAGGATCTTCTGGACCACTGGAAGTCAGGCAGCAGGGTTCAACTGCTTGTCACACTACCCCTGCGGCTCACCTAGGCTTGAAATGAGACTGAAACCCTGAAGATCAATTGCTCGATTTGTATCCTCTCAAGTCCAGCAAAGAGTGCCTCTGACCTACTTTTCAAACAATTCTGTGAGTACACAGCAACAAACATACGCCCTGCTTGGTGGACTTTGGACCTATACAAGCCATGATTCACCACCTAGCTACTCTGCGGTCCGCACGGTCCGTGCGTCATAGGAACGGTCCTCGGACCCAACCCGCCTGTGCCAGGCTGTCGGGCGCGAAGACCCACAAGGTCACCCTGGCACAGGTCGAAATGACTCGAATGACTTGAATAGGGGCCCAACGGAAGGTCGAACTGTGCATGGTAGCAGTAATTTGTTGACTTTCATGGTGCCAATGCTTGTTGGGTCTTGGTGTTGTTGTTGGTGTGGGTAAGGTGGTAGGTAGGCTTCGGTTTGCTGCTTGTCTTTGCTGATCAATGTGATCAATCATTATCAATATTGTTGGTGTTCTTGCTAACTTCGTACCTTTCCTGTTGATATTCGTGCGCTGTTGGTGCTGCTGTGAGTGCCCTTGCCATGATTGCAAAGTGAATGGAGGCTACCTGCTTGAAACGGCGCAGTGCATGTTGAGTCGATCTTTGGGTTGCATTGCTGCTTTCCCCTATGTTCGTATTGACCAAGCTGAAAGCTTCACCCCAAATGCCAGCTAATTAAGCCTTTTTGAACAAATTGGAGTGTATTGAAAAATTGGAGTATGTTGAGACAAAAGGCTGGACTGGAAACAAAATGTTAAACAAATATGTCGGTGGCTGTTGGGGTCAAGCAACTATGTTCCTTCGTGGTGATTAGCTGCAGGACGAGGTGCCAAGAAATGATCATCGCCAGCACATTACCCAGCAAGATCTCCAAGGAATTGCCTGTGAGGTGTGCACTTTGTTGAAGAAACCAGAAGCAAGCTGGGCTCTCAAAGGCATCAATCGTTTCAGCCAGTTCAGCCCCAAAAGATCTGGGTTATATAGTCACACAAAAACAAATATAATCATTGGGGTTCAGGTCCCTCCAAATCGGCTGGTGTTTGAGGACAAGAACGGTCAAACATCCTCAAAATGGAGTTTCTTAAGAATGGACCAAATTCAACCGAACATGGTGCCAAAGTCAAAGCTTCGCTGGTCAGCGATTGGCAGGGCTGGCTGTTCCTAAAACCAGGAGATCTTGATCACTTTAATTAATCACTTGGGCATGTTGCAAATGACAACAAAACTCCTTGAGAGTTTCCTCATCCCCATGAGCATCAGAACTTGCACAATACACTACAGAACCATCATTGCTGTAGTCACGGAGCCTGGCAACCGTTGATGTGAAATCTGCCGTTACGCAGTCTTACCTGTGGAGAAATCCAGCGGTCCCTACCAAATGCTTCAATGTTTCATCGATGCGCAGTGGTTCAGCGAAACAATTTCTGCAAACACTTCATCCAGTTGACTGCTGCAAGGTGTTGGTCGACCCCACTAAATCTGTCACTTCCCATCTCCACTGCCACCCATCGTCCGTCATCTGGTCGCATTGATCACTTCCCATCTCTGCCACCTGTCGTCTCTCCATCGTGCTGGGCCGTCCCGGCCCAGTGCCGTGGTGCTCCGGTTCCGCCGCTCCGAGGGGATCGCCGAGGGGCGGAAGAGACTGAGCAGCAGTCACCGGCAGTCGGTGCGAGGTGCAACGGACCGTAAGGCTTTCACCGCAAAAAAACATCATATTTCTCTATATTTTGTATGTGTGCGTTTATTGTTCCATCCCGGGCCTACAGTAGAAACGCAATGTGTTCAAATATACATGTACATATAAATATATATATATATTTATATTTATATCTGATATCCATGCGAAACAACATTCAGTGACCTCTCTTGAAAGCACGCTGGTTCAGCCTCGCATCAATTGGAGGTTCTCTTATGCAAGATAACGAGCGGCACTTTCTGCCTTCTAAAAGGCACACTTGTCACTGAAAAACCGTTCATCTGTGAGTGCAATAGAGTATTGTTTTGGGGGTCCTTGGAGCTTATACGCGTAAAGGCTCTGACGCACCAGCCTACACAAGCCTAATTGTGCCATGCAGAAGGTTGCCTACGTGGGGATGCCTACTTGAGCAGGCTAAATGGCGAGAAAATAGCAAATACCGTTTCTATTTTTACTCAGATGCTGAAGTGGTCCATGAAAATGACGATGAGCTCGAGGTTGAAACTAGTATAAATCCTAGTTCCCCACACTGCACAGTACCAAACACCAAGAACAAAGCTTTTTTTGCAATGGAAGGCACCAGGCCAGCCATCAGTGACAACCCGCTGTTTGCTGCACTCACAACACCAAAGCACTTCGGCCCCTGAATAAAGGCTAGAGTCGCTAGAGGAACAATAAAATGGCCATCTGCTTTAGCGACTCTGTACAAGTACAGGGTGTGTGGCTGCATACTATTTTAAATACCATGCAGCAACTCTATCAATGGGCAAAACATGCCCTTAAGACGGAGACATGTAATGCATCAACATCGCAAATTAAACATTCAACCCCGCCTCCAACATAACAACATCAAATTGTAGTGACTGTAATTGTTCAAAAATTGTTTCATATTCATAGGCTTTCTTTTGAGCAGGCTGCTGCAGCATCAGAAATCTCAGAAATCTGAGAAATCCAAAAGGGACGTACAAATATGAAAGGTACGTAAATCACATGAAAGGGGCGTAATCCCCTATGTCAACAGGAAATGACAAAAAAAGATAGGTCAGACCGGGTCTAGGTATATTATATAGCATACATCGCAACTTCTTTGGTATTATTGCGGTTGTGCGTCATCCTGCCTGTATGCCACACACGCGTTGATCGCAAACTTTCGTTTAAGCAGGGAAGCAAATTCCACTGGTTGTTGTCCATTCCTGGAAGTTCAGCAGTGTTTCTTACTACGGCCACCATGTTCCACCTGACTTAATATGTATGACTGTATGCCATACCCTGTACACATCTCTGAAAAAACAAAACAGGATTTCAGCAACTCCAGCGAGTTTGGACAACAACTTGCCTTGCAATGATTCAATGGGTTGGTCATCCTTTCTTCTGGCATGATTGAGATTTTACTCTATGGTCAGTCTTCAAGAACATATGTTGTTCATTTCACTCTATGGTCAGTCATCAAGAAGTGTAGAGTTCTCTCCTTCCCAATATATACTTGTTTCTGTGCGCCCACCAAGTGATGCACTGACCTTTGAATGCAATATACTCTCTGAGAATTCAGAATCCATTCTACTTTGCGAAGCCGTCTTTCCAGCTTCGCAAAAGGAAACAGATCGACGAGGCACACTTGACAAAGCGAGAAAAGGAATTCGTGTCTCCGGTGCCACTGAACTTGAGTCCAAAGGGACCCCTCTGTCTCCATGAACACTGCCCGACATGGGAAGACAGGGAGGAAGTACCAGACTGGGGAAATTGGGGAGCTGCTTGTAGGTAGGTACACCTGGAACCCCTGCAGGGAAACCATACAAGGTTATGCATCATCCTCATTATACCGTAGCGTATTTAAGTGTTGTCGAGATAGGACTTCTGCAAATGAGATCAGCCAACAGTCGGTACAAGGGTACAGTATGGAGGGCTGATGGTGGATGAAAGGACTAGCAATCTTGGTCATAGTCTTTGCTTACTTACCTTCCTCACACTTTAGAAACAAGTTTCTGCAGGCCAGGACAAGTTTTTAAATATCTATACTGTAAATACAGTATTTAAATGAATGATGTTTTGACATCAAGCATGCCACCGACCGTATCCATGCAAGATCGGTGTGTGTATATACTAGAATCTAGAATCAGATCCAAGAAAGACTCTCCCGATATTCTTCAGAGACCAATTGAAGAGACCCGCAACCGCACGTTCGACCAATGCAGTTGGCTGTGTCAGGAGTCGTTGTGCCAACAGATGCAATCCTCTCTGAAGTCTTTGATGACCCCTGTGGTGGCTTGGTTAGCGGGTTGATGGTTTTGCTATAGGTAAGCACTATGCCAATACTGTATTCTATCCTCTGAAGATGACTTTTCCATTTTCTGAATCTGCCTCAACTCTTTTGAACAAACAAACATACCCGCACAGATACTGGGTTCACACAAATATCACTGCAAAGGCTGTATGTTCCTTTGTCTTGTATAGTTCTATCGTTCATCATTGTATTGATAAAACATCGTATTTAGCCACATTCTCACTGCATATAATGTTAGCATAGCAACCATGTTTGATTGTTTTTGTAAGGGTTCCATTGACTGCAATGACATCAAACGCACCTTGATTCTAAATTGGAACAACCACTCCGTATTTGTGCAATACATCCACATCATTACCAACTGTGCTGTGTTGATATCATCAGTGTTGAAATCTTCCCTTGCAAATACATTACAGAAAACATCAGTAATTAAACTAATCCTAGATCCTAAGTAATAATAAGTATGATTTGCGTGGAACTACCAGAAATTGAGCCCATTGCCACGTGTTGTTTCACTTTTACATTCTTACAAAAGCAAAAGCAACATTTTTCATTCATTTCATCTGCCGGCAACCGTGCTGGTTGCCCGTGTTGGGCCGCAGCTGGATTTCTCCAGGCCGGACACTTCGGGAGTGTCAAGGCACCAGGTTCGAAAAACAGGCGTGCTTATGCAAAGCGATCGTTGAGCAATTCATCAAAACTCTTTGGCTTCATAGGCAACGGACGTTTCCAATGCTGGCTTGTGCAAGACTTGGGGATGATCCAAAGGAGGTAGATAGTGGATGCAATGTCCGGGTCGACACCCAAAGGAAGGGCGGTTCGGAAGTCATCACAAGACTTGACTGTGCCACTGTGCCAAAGAATGCTACGATAATGGCCTTCGGCGGGTGTTGTACCCAGGTGAATGACCCCCGCGGTCACGACAAAATCATGCCACTCAACATGGATGCCTTGGCGATCACTGAAAATCGGAATCTGCACGGGCTGGCTTCTATCCCATAGAACCGAACAATGGCTTTTCTGGCCGATGAAAGGAAAACGGGACACCTGAATGCAAATCCAAGGGGAGTCACATGTAAAAGCATGGACAAAAGGCTCTTGATGATGCCAGTTGTTGATCAGCTGCTGAAGGGTAATGAGACCTTCAATTGGACATGCCATAGGAACAGGAGCGAACACGTCTGCTTGATCTTCTGTGGAATTCAGCAAACGAGAGCACCAACCCTGCTGCATATACTGTGGGAGCGTTTTTTCAAGCAGCCGATGTCGAAACCATCCAGCAAATTCACCAGCATCATGCTGATCACGACATGGATGGTTCTGGAACCAGTCTACAAGCAGGCGGCCTAGAAACTGGTCTGCGCATGGGTCCACAACAGCCCCTGCATGCTCAACGAACATGCTCAAAAATTGTTTCTCCCATGCTCCCCAAATGGCTGTATTGAAGGTCAAGCTCATGATGCTACTCCAGGTTTGGGCCTGCAGAACACTGTTGATATAGCAAGTGCTGCCGGAGCCACCCAGTTTGGTCTCGAGGATGCCCGTCACGATCTCCTCAATCGTTGGGAGATGGCATTGGCTAGAGGAGAGCGTTGCAGGTTGGCTCCCCTTACCCGAAGGAGGATCAACTGTGTGATTCCATTTCCAGCTAGCTTCTGAAGAAGCTGGAAGAGTTCGGATGCCTCGGGAGACCTCAGGCTGAGGTCCAAGCGCCATGGTATTGCAGTCGTGGCGTCCTGAGGGAGGGTGTCCTGCTTGACCGGTCGCAAAGCCGAGAACTTGTGAATCACTCCAGGTTGCTGGCCGAGATGTGCTATTCGTTCCAACAGCGAGCGAATCTCCTCCGAGGTCAGGGGTGGCATCCGATTTGGTTTGAGCATCATGGCTTGACTGTCCCAAGAGAGATATGCCCATTTGCTGTCCTCTGTCAAGATGCCTTTGGATCTCAGATTCAATACCAATGCGTCGTCGCTTGCATCGAGCTTCAAGAGTTGAGCTCTCTGAGCAAGGAGCTGAAAGCACTGCAGAAACATGTGCATCCTCAGAGGCATGGTGGCTTCTCCTTTCTCCTTTAGCTGGTTCCATTCTTTGGCTTGGGTCAACAAAGTCGGCATGATGCTCCCTCTGCCGCATTGGATGAAGAACATAAAGCTCTTGTTCAGCTGAAGTTGGGAGATGGCATCTTCCTGCCTCAGAGTCAGGCGGGCAAGCATACGAAGAAGGTCGTCGTTGCCTCCAGACAACGTGGAGGCCGAGGATGGAGAGAATCTGGCTGCAGGACCCTTGCCAGGTCTCTGTGTTCCATCCGTAGCAACCCGTGGTCTTTTGCCAACGTTCTGTGCGCATGCATCGAGGAGATCCGTAAAGCTCTGATCGTCTGCAAACATCTCGTCGGCCATCGAAACGGGTGAGAGCGCACCACAGTTGCCAATCTTGGGCCAATGAATGCTCAATCAAATGTAGAGCTTGATTGATGTCAGTCAGCTGATCATGAAACGTATCGGACAACGTAGTGGGCGGAACGGACACTGGTGTGCAGTCCCTTGAGTGCCAGGCCCATGTGAGCGGATGCAGTTCATGAAGGAAGGCCACAAAGTGAAAGAACGGGTCCTCTGGCAGTCTCGAGTGTGGTACATCAAAATGATGGGAAATCATGCAGATCGTC